ATCATTACATTTTTTCTCTCACAAAAATGTTAAAAAAGCCAAAACCCTTTTCCAAACTAGGCTTTTTAGCCCCAGGTTAAAATATTCAAAAAATCCAAAAAACCAACTCACTTCCCAAATGACACCTTTGTCTAATTTAAGAACAAGTGTCGTGATAGACTAATGGATTATATACTTATTTTTAAATTTCAAAGGATGGAATAAAGCACTGTGGCTAAATACACTTTATTTTTTAAACAAATAATGAAAATACAGAAATATTTTAGTCTTTTTCATTAAATCGTTATCGGGCCTAATGGTGCACTTCAATTCACAGACCACAAAAAAATTATGTGATCATTTTCAAATGTTAAGAGGTAAATCGTACATAACCCTAATCACATAGGGGTAAAATGAAGTTTACCCTATACATAATAAAAATAAAAGAGTTTTCCACTCTGTCAATTAGAGGGAATAGTTTGACAAAAAGTTGTCTTAAATTCAAAAAGTTTTGTGATGTTATCCTCCTTTTATTCATCTTTTATTAAAAAGAAAAGACTACAGTCGGTTATTAGTTTCATTTTAAACTTTTTTTTATTAATAATCACAAGGTCTATATTTTGGGAACAAACAAACAATAACAATTTAAAATGTTATATCATCTCTATTTATTTGTATATATATTTATTCATTTACATCACTTATTTTTTCACACGTCATTTTTTATTTGTCCACCATACCTATCTATTCATATCACCACCGCTACTACTACTAGCTATTGTCGCCAACTACTTCTAATGACTTTTAGAGCTTCTACTTTTTTTTAACATAGAAGAGGGAGAATTTAATTTAATATTCATATATATATATATATATACAGGAACTGATATGAAATGGAGATAAAGAAAACTTATCATGTATAACTTTTCGTTTTAATTTAATCTATAATCTATCATCTAAGCCAAAATATAGTATTAAAAGCACTATATCAAGATAGAATTGTATTAACAAATATAAAATTTGGTGGTGTTTACTGGTTTAATTGGGAGATTAGTAATGTTATGGTTTGTCTAAAATTACCAACACCACTTTGATTTTTTTTATTTTATTTAATTAATAATAATAATAATAAAATCTGTCATTTTTGAAGAATTAAAAGGGCTTCATTCTGATCATTTCCATCTACCATAGAAATTACAATGCAACAGTAACTCTATTATAAGATGTGCACAGCTAGTCTCAAAAGCAATCGAAGGCATGGATTAATAATAATTACGACTCCACAGAGCACCCCTATAGCTTTCATTGCCAAAGGTTTCAAATTGAAATCTTCTTGGTATGATGCTGACAAGTCATTGTAGCTAAAATTTAATATTTCGAGAAATGAAATGGAAGTTAATACTGGAGGGATTACACCAGACAACTAGATACTAGAAAGGTCCAAAGACTCAAAATACTCCATGTTTTTAAAATTTGGGGGAATTATGACCAGTAAGAAGGTTATTTGACAGGTTCAGTCTAGCAACGCCTCTCAAATTGTCTATTTGGGTCGGCATAACACTCGTCAATTGGTTACAAGATAAATCTTTTACGGGAACAAATGTGGATGCAATTGTTCGAGTATTTTTGGCAACATAAAACTCACCTGACCCCTCATAATCGGCAGGAAACATAATGTTGCCACTGGAAACATCAGTAAGTCTTGTGTCAGCATCACATAGGAAGCGATGATACAGAGCCCTAAAGAAAGCAACTAGGTCACGCAACAAAAAATCCTGAGCCCTGCCACTATTGCTAGTCTCAAGTAGCAAACGCAGATAATGTTGACCCACACAAACTTCTTTGGATAAGCTACGATAGCTAACAGAAAATTCAGAGTAGTTCCACGATAACTGAGGAACACTATCTTTCCCAGTCATAATTTCCACAGTTGAACCTCCAGGAACTATATCTTCAGTACGTTCCTTCTTAACATCTAGATTATGAACCTCTGCAATACCTGTCTCAACTCCTGCCTGGTCTGCTCATTCCAGATCAAGTCCGCACGATTGTGATCAAGGCTAAAAGCTCGCCAAAATTCAGGACAGTTACAAACTAACCTACCAGATCCAACAGGCGTGTTCTCCACAACAATCTGAGCAGGAGCGGGAATGCCTGTGTTCTGGAAGCCAACCACATTTGGATCAGAATCAACTTGTAAATCAGAGATCACAAAACTTGCAGCGGAATAAAATGTTTAGATCATACCTGATTCGATCTAAAACCTCATGGATAAATCACGTGCTTCCAGAATCTAATCAATCAATCCCAGCAGTGGGGTGATATTACAATGGTGAATATCACCCACACAAACCACAGTGCAAATGACTTGATCGTTGTTTCTTGGGAGAGAGTAAGTTTATGGGTTGAAACAAAACCCTACGTTGTTTCTCTCTCTAGGTTACCCATAACCATATATCAGATATATATCACTGTGTATCAATCACACCATATCAGCTAAAACTGATAATATCTATATCCTGAGTGGTTATCCTAAATAGGTTTGAGGCAATACTGTTGGGAGTAGGAGCATTAGCTTTGAGTTCATGCCCTGCAAGTTCACTCTTTGCTGAAGGTATGATGGTTTTTTAATTTTTTTTCCTTTTTTTTTTTGTCAATTTGTAGGATATCATTTACAAACAGGACATTCATTCAACTATGAAAAAAAAAAGTCCAACACATTGTCATATGCACATAACAAAGCCAACAACACAGGAAAGACAATTGGAGAGTCGAATGCTTGACCCCCCTAGCCTTGTTGAGAGAGAGAGAGAGAGTGCTTTATTCTCCCTTCAAATCATAAACTACCCATCCAATTAGTTTGAATTGAGATGGAGGTGTTTGTGTTAATGCATTTCTCCAAGCTCTTATGATTACATTATTTTCATGAAGAATGGCATTTCGCTTATGTTATCTTACAATCCTATGCATAATTTTTGTTTTTTAGAAATACTACATTAATGTGTGCTAATTGGGCCTTTTTTTTTTCTTTTTTTTTCTGCATAGAAATACCACAAAACTATGAAGCTTTTGTCAACAAATCAGATGGCTATTCATACTATTACCCCTCAGATTGGAGGGTAAGTTACATGTTTACTAGTCAAAGAGAAGCCAAAATTTAGGCTGTGACAACTCTTTGGTACACTAAAAAGAATTTATGAAGTCTGTTGTTTAGGAATTTGATTTCAGAGGGCACGATTCTGCATTCAAAGACCGATATCTGCAATTACAAAATGTTCGGGTGAGCTTTATTCCAACTGACGAGAGATATACATGATTTAGGCCCTATGGAAGAGGTAAACAATTCCACCTTTTTTATTCCTTCTGAATTTTATTGATGTTTTTGTGACTCGTTTGTATTGCTTTGGAAGGTTGTTTCCAATTTGGTTAGACATGTCTACTCAGCACCGACTCAAATGGTAAATGTATTTGACATGCAAGAGGTTTGCAACATTTCACCCACCCTGCTTTAACTAAACCAAGAAAATTAGACGTCATTTAGAGCTCCAAATATGTATCTTATGACATTTTATCGAATGCAGCGAACAATTGATGGGAAAAACTATTAGATGTAAGAATTTCTAATACGTAAATGTGGGTTTGTTTAGATGTGAGTGGTTCTAAGGATGTCGTCTGGGCTCCCAAAAAAACAATGAGTGTAATATTTTTTTAAATTCCAGTATGTAATTTCATGATTAATTTCTTCATTTATTTGAGTTTAGTCTCTCTGCAGTTTCTCTATTATGTACTATAAGACTTTGATTCAATTGAATGTTATTATTGTCCATCTACTCTTTCTTGCAAATAATTCTTTGTTAATTTTGTTTTTTTCTTATATTAATTACTCACAGAATTTTGATTTTTTTGGTAATCAGGAAGTTAATTAAAGGTCTTCAGTGCATTTTATGAAAAAAGAATTAAAACAAGATTAGAGATAATGCAAGGGGTCGTCTTGTTGTCTGTGTGATAAATAAAGAGTCTCATTGTTGGCTTCAAGCATTTTTAATTTTTAATAAAGTTACATCTGTATATTATGAGAAACTCAAAAAAAGCAAAGTTGTAGTAGTATTAATCTAGCTGTAATATTATGGAAGAGTCACAATTGATGTTACAAAAATATAGTAATCCCTTCTATTTTGAGCCTTATTTTTTTTGGCTCTGAATGGGCTGATTTGCTGGAAGATGCAGTAGATTGTGAATTCCCTGTTTCTGTCACTGATTTAGTTTTCTAGATTGTTACTGCCTTTCTTTTCCTATTTGTGTAATATATTTATGCTGTATGGTTTTCCCCCAATGCTATATTTTGTTTGTCTTATCACTGCTATTAGGGTTTTGTTAAAGAAATTGTTTCTTAAATTTGTCGATATGATTCAGGCATTAACAGAAATCTCGTGACTGTAGGTACTACTTAACGGATGGCTTCGCATCTACAGACGTCACCGAAGAGAACAAGAGATGGTATTTTTTTTCTTCCTAAGCGGAACATTTAAATGAGTTATGTTGGTGATGTCTGGAGTCTTTAGTTTCTAAGGTCAGGTCATAGTCTTTAGTTTCTCCTGATGAGCTGAGCTGACCCTTTTTCTTCTCTCTTTTGTGTTGTTGAATAGCTTTGACAATTTTATGCAACTTGTGATTGGTACATTATGAACACCCATGAGCTGAGTTGAGCTAACCTGGAGCTGAGCTGCACCTTTGGACTCTATGCTGGCTTCTTTTCTTTTTGGCAACAGGTGATTGGATATTGAAGACAATGTCATGATGCAAATCGCACCATTAATTGCTTGTTTATCAGGGATTGTTGAGACCATGGTTTATGATTGTGTTTTATTTATTTTTTAATTTTTTAATAATTAAAAAAAATCAATTCATTATGTAGTTACTATATATGCATTTTGCACCTGAACATTAAATTTTTGTACATGAGTATTTGAATATCTGACATGTGCATTGAAATGGTATCTTTGTCCCTTCAAGACTAATTGATGAGCTGGATTTACTATGCATTTAGAGGCCATGAGGTGTACCAAACACCGTTCAAGGAGGGGACTAAGGAGGCCCAGGTTTCAGATTGCAATCTCCAGCTCCCAAACATGGCAGAAGATGATTTCTCTGTGATGAAGAACTGGGTTTCAAGGAATTATTACCCTGCAAGTCATGCATTGGACAATGGGGTTGAATCTGGGTCTGTGAGTGCATTGGGGTATAGGGATTTGCAGTCACTGAGCTTGCCCTGGCTCCCAATCAAGCTGTGTTACTGGTTCACAGCAGATCTCACCCACTGTTACTGAGTGTGTAGCCATGGAGGGAAAGAAAAGAGGGTCTGAGAAGCTTGATCAGAAGCAGGTTGTCCATAGGAAGTCCATTGATACATTTGGACAGAGGACTTCACAGTATAGAGGTGTCACAAGGTTAGTTCTTTAATCTCCTTCCATCTCTTTTCTGTAATATGCTAGATGTTCTTTGTTATTGCATCTGTCTATCTTTTTATTTTATTATACAAAATGCATACCTTTCTTCCTACATCACTCATTATCCTGTTAGGAATTAGTCACACCTAACCAGGATTGGCTCACAGAAAAACAGAAAAGAATAAATGCATAAGAATTATAAATCACATGCATATACAAAAATACAAGATTTACATAATACCTTTCTTCATGATCTTGCTGTGTTTATCTGGGTAAATCTTGTTATTGCTGGGTGATACCAATAATGACTATCAGTTTATCTGGGTAAGTCTTGTTATTGACAATGATTGAGTAATAAGCATGTTCTTTCCTTCAATTCTCATAGCATCATCATTGCCAAATACTAATTTTCAGGGGGTTATGATATGGAAGCAAAGGCTGCAAGAGCTTATGATTTAGCTGCACTCAAGTATTGGGGCCCTTCGACCCATATCAATTTTCCGGTGGTTCTCTGACCCTCTCATCAGCTTATTTCATCTAACAATTGTTTTGTAACTGACATGGGACTCTGTATATTGATGATTTAGCTGGAAAACTATCAACAAGAACTTGAACATATGAAGAACATGACCAGACAAGAATATGTTGCTCACTTAAGAAGGTATAGTCTCTCCCCTTGTATATTAGACAACAATGTTTGTTTTCTTTGTTTGATGTGTTTTTATCTCTAATATATTGATCTTTGCAGAAAAAGCAGTGGCTTCTCAAGGGGTGCTTCAATGTACAGAGGAGTCACAAGGTCTTACTATTTTTTGCACATACATCTGTTAATCTATAATTTTTATTGGCACGCTTCCTTTAATTATAAGTAGAAGTATATTTGATGTACATCTCGTCGTTCCCAGACCCTGCCCTTCTTTATGGGTCTCTAATTCTGATGTAATCTTCAACAGACATCATCAACATGGACGCTGGCAAGCTCGGATAGGCAGAGTTGCAGGAAACAAGGACCTTTATCTAGGGACATTCAGTGAGTTCCTTTGCATCTTCTCAATTTATTTGGGCAAAAACTTTTTCCCGTAGACATCTAATTGCTAAAAAATCTTCTCATTTCAAATTCTGCCAAGACATTAGTGGTTTTGCTACATAATTTGCTAAAAAAATGCAACTATTTAAATGCAATCTGTGGCTTTCTGTTCTTGTACTGGTTTTGATTTCATTTCGATCTGGTTCTGATTTAACTGCAATTTTCAGGCACCCAAGAGGAAGCTGCTGAGGCCTATGACATAGCAGCAATAAAATTTCACGGGGTTAGTGCTGTCACTAACTTTGACTTAATGGGTATTGTGTATTCATTTTGTATTTTGTAGTTTCTGTCAATGAAGTTAGCTTCTGTGAATCCAAGGTTGGAATTTAACATGGATAGTCTCTTGTCAAAAGATGTGAGTATAGAAACTTGTAAAATCAATTTCTTTTATCTATTGTGATGTTTTTTTCTAAAATTGGTTGTAAATTCCGGGTATTTCAGCCTAATGGCTCTTTCCCACATCAAACATACCCATTAAATTGGTCAAGAACCCAAACCACAATACAGGATTTCAATCATCCCACATGAAAATTGAACTGTGGTCACCATTGATTTGTCCTCAACTCAAGGCCCAGAGGCTGCTGTATATTAATGGATTTTTTTTTACGAGAAATATTAAAAGAAAAATCTTGATGCTTACCTAAAATATAGTAGAATCACAAGTTGCTTCATTCACCAACTAAATTTGATTTGTTGGATGAAGAACTGTGTTGAATCAAGAAGGGTTGACTTTTGTTAAATCTATTTTCTATAACAGCTTTAGATATGTTACATATGATCTCTATAATTGAAATTGGTTTGATCTGTTTTTGCAGGAATAGTATGTATCCTGAGCAGTTGACTCGTCTCAGTTGTGAACTACAACTCTTTATGAGTTCAAGAAGAGCATACAGTCTCTAATGTTTTTGTAGTGGAACCATAGATAGACCTGTGGATAGAACCATAGATAGACCTGTGGATAGAACCATAGATAGACCTGTAGACACTAATGCTTGCTTAAAGATGGGTTTTGAGCCACTGGTTTGGTATTGTCAGCCAGTGGCAAATGGACACTTTGGTTGTTTCCATCTACAATTTGGTTCTTATGGGCCTGTGCTTATATTGAATATGGCTGACTACGAAAAATTTATCGCTATTTTTTAGTTTTTTTATAGGTATTTTTTTAGTTCAATAACGTAAAACTAGCACAATTTAAAAAAAAAAAGAAAGGGGCTATCACGGCGTTTCTAAAAACGTCGCTAAATAGCATACCAACAGTTGGAGTTTTGAAAAACAGATACGGCGGCGTTTTTAAAAACGTCGCTAAATAGAATGGTGACGTCATGTAACCGTTAGAAGAACTTTTAGCGGCGTTTTATAAAAACGCCGCCTATAGCAATATAGCGACGTTTCTAAAGCGCCATAGAGTTATAGCGACGGCCGCATCTTCGACGTTTGGTGATAAACGCCGCACAAGGATTTAACGGCGTTTTTAAGAGCTATAGCGGCGTTTTTTAAACGCCTCTAAAACTCTAATTTCCAGCAATGAAAGGTCCAAAGACTCAAAATACTCCATGTTTTTAAAATTTGGGGGAATTATGACCAATAAGAAGGTTATTTGACAGGTTCAGTCCAGCGATGCCTCTCAAATTGCCTATTTGGGTCGGCACAACACTCGTCAATTGGTTACAAGATAAATCTATTATGGGAACAAATGTGGATGCAATTGTTCGAGTATTTTTGGCAACATAAAACTCACCTGACCCCTCATAATCGGCAGGAAACATAATGTTGCCACTGGAAACGTCAGTAAGTCCTGTGTCAGCATCACATAGGAAGCGATGATACAGAGCCCTAAAGAAAGCAACTGGGTCACGCAACGAAAAATCTTGAGCCCTGCCACTATTGCCAGTCTCAAGTAGCAAACGCAGATAATATTGACCCACACAAACTTCTTTGGATAAGCTACGATAGCTAACAGAAAATTCAGAGTAGTTCCACGATATCTGAGGAACACTATCTTTCCCAGTCAATTTCCACAGTTGAACCTCCAGGAACTATATCTTCAGTACGTTCTTTCTTAACATCTAGATTATGAACCTTTGCCTGCAATACCTGTCTCAACTCCTGCCTAGTCTGCTCATTCCAGATCAAGTCCGCACGATTGCAATCAAGGCTAAAAGCTCGCCAAAATTCAGGCCAGTTACAAAGTAACCTACCAGATCCAACAGGTGTGTTCTCCACAACAATCTGAGCAGGAGCGGGAATGCCTGTGTTTTGGAAGCCAACCACATTTGGATCAGAATCAACTGAATCTGATGCATTTGATTTAACAGGCTCATTTGTATTCATTGACGGAACATCAGGTGAAGCCATAACTATTGACTAATCTATTTGTGGAGCACTAGTAGAGTAAAATTCACTAGGCAAGTCATTACCTGTATGAACTACATAAGAGTTCGTGGCTGGAACCTGTACAGAAATTGGATATACTGCAGATTTTTGGTAACTATCTAACCCTTTAAAGGCACCAGGACTTGTCTGCTGCCCTGGATCAACTTCAAAATTATTAACTGAGGGCATGGGAGGCCCCTGAGATGTTATTCATTTTCCTGCACGACCTTTCCTCTGCTGAAGTAACTGTCTCTATCTCCTACTCAATGACATTTTGTGCATCTTCAGGTGGAACCCCATCTGAACGTGTGTGCAGATAAGCAACAAGCCCTGGAGGCAGCACTTTTGATAACAAATCAAGAGCAAGTTGATATAAATCTGCCCAAAGAGCAACAAGTTGTTGGCTAACTTCACGACGTTCACCAACAGGAAGAAAGAAAGCATGCAACAAATGTCACAACAAGGCACCGTCACTCAAAGCAGCATATCACGCATAGACTCTGCTGCAAATGCATCTTCTTCTGCAATTGTACGCATGATAACAGCAACTGTCTCCCTTACACTTTCAGTAGGATGCCCAAACAATGCAAACAAGCGACGCCGCAGGCCAGCTACTTGTCGTAACAATTCAACAAAAACAGTATATTAAGTAGTTTCACCATGTGGTTCATAGATCATTGCCTCCAGAACCTCCACACCTGACATTGATAATAATAGCGATATAGACATAGGTTTTAGTCTGTTGACAACGATAATAACATTGCTATTATTTGAAAACAATATGGACTTTGTGTGCATAATTGTGGCATGCCACTCTCTTTTTGTATCTGTCAGTATATTCATGTACCCAGGACCACCACCGATAAGTACTGCAATAAATTCAGCAGCTTCAGTAGCAACTCCTTCAGAACCATTCCGAAGTAAACCCATTATTCTTCCAACAGCGGCAGGAAAAGACATCACGTGTGAGGCAGCACTTCTTGATGCTAGTATAAAACCCATCACTGTTGTAGCGGGTTTAGGTGGGGGGGTGGGGGAGGCAAGGGAGGAGACTCTGGAGGAAGGTTTGGAGAAGCTGGGAGCATTATAATCAAGGCCATTAAAGTCACTTCAGGTACTTCAATGTTAGCAGGCACACCACTGTAAGGTATACATGCATTGAACTCTCTCTTATTCTACGCCATAACTTAGCTCTTGATCCAGGAATAGAGCCTCCTTCAGCCTGTTGGCTACATATTTTGTATAAGCCAATCCCAGTTCGACACATGGCATGATGAGGGCAATACGGGACGACAATTCGAATCTTCAATCATAATCACACATGTAGCAGTCAACATTGGTTTATTGTAGATCTGCATAGCATTGAATCAACAAAGAAATATAAGATGACGTGGTTTCAACGATTACTCATATTTAAATTCAAAATCAGGAGGGAAACCTAACTACAGATATGGCATAGTGGAGCTAATTATAAGGCAGCATGATCAGCGACCACGGAGGGATGGTTCGATGGTTAGAAATGCAATTCGACGGTTGTCATTAAGAAATATAAATAGCAGAGAAGGCTCCAGAAAGTGTCCGAACTCAGATAAAAAAAAAATAGTTTTATCTACTTTATTTTTTCTTCCAGTTTTTACATTTCTTGTTCTTTACATTTCTGTACTTCAAATTCCTGCACTGAGAAATCATGTTTTGAAAAACTTGTACTTAATTTCGGGGACGAAATTCCTTAAGGGAGGGAGGTTATAGCGATCCCGGTTTTCCTTCTTTTGATTGTTGTATTCCGGATTTAGGTTCCGTGAAGTTGGTGGTTGTATATCTTGTTGTTATCCTTTAATTCCATATACTTGAGTTTTAGGATGTATTGGGCGTGTTTCGAACAGGTTGGTTGAGCTTAAGTCCCATTCCTAGTTGCCCAGATTTTTCGTGGTCCGCTCGAGCGGGTCCCTTTACGCTCGAGCGGGGTTTACACACTCTCAGCATTTCGTGCCTCTGCAAAACTTCTGCAGATGTGTTTTTCACGCTCGAGCGGATTTTCTTACGCTCAAGCGGGTATCTTGGCGCTCGAGCGGGTAGTTCATTGTCTGTAAAAGTACTGGAAGGGGAAAATCTACGCTCGAGCGGCTTTCTCTTTGCGCTCGAGCTGGTGTGTTTTGCAGTTGTGTCTTGGCGCTCGAGCGGGTCCAGTTTTTGTGTCTGATGCTCGAGCGTCCTATTCTCCGCTCGAGCGGGTCATACGTATATCAGTAGACAGCAGCGGGATTACACTTCACTTTTTCATCTCTTTCTTTTTCAAAAATCCTAGATCTGAGCTCTCTCTCTCTCTAACAACTTCTCTCTAGGGATTGATTTACTTCTAGTGAGTTTCTAGCCTAGGCTCTTTGTAAGAATAGAGGGTGTTGAGGGCTTCCTTTTAATCTGAAAAATCTTGGATTTGGAGCACTTTGGATTTTGGTCATCTCGTCCATTTGAGCTCTTCATCTCGAGGTAGGGATATCCTACTCCATCTTATGAGCTTTGTCTTTAATTTTGGTCATTTTCATCAGTTGGTGATGTTGGGAGATTTTGGAAAAAGTTAGGGTTTGGTTGTAATTTATAAAAGAGGGGTTTTGTGTTTTAAAGCTCCATGTATATTTAGAGCTTTGGAAATGTGGGCTTGAAAGTTAAATTGGTGGAATTTGGTCTTAGGATCATTATTTGAGAATAAGGGAATAATGCCCTAAATGTGTTGTAATAAATTAATTGGTACAATTAATTTGGGAAAAGTGTGGAATTGAGTTAAAATCCATGAAATGGGGGAATTATGGGATTGAATGGAGTAGTTGGATTAATTAATCACTCACCCATTAAAATGTTGATATTGTATCGGTTTAGTGCATTTATTTTCTGTTTAGAAATAACTGTTTTGGGCTATCGGTGAAGGATAGTCTTGATTGTTGTAGACATTGTATGTTGATTAGGAAAAACTGAAACTAATCACATTGAATATGTCATCGGATATGACGGTTGGAATAATGCATC